GAAAGACAGAAAGGAAAAGTGAAAAGAAAAGTAATCAAATGATGACTTTCTTTAAATCTAGCCACTGCTCGAACACCAAACCTGTTGTCCCCAATGATTAGTCACGAACAAGTTATACCTAGTTTCACTTTCAATTCTTTAAAACGTAGTAGTTTTGTTTTTGTTTTGAGGAAGTCTATCCCCAAAGTATTCCTGAAGCTTCAATAGACACTAATTTTAGGACATGTTTTAAAAATTACTCCTTTGTGTGTGTATTGCAGGGAGTACTGGAAAAGGGGATAGAAACCAAATAAATTCAAAATGTAATTCTCACTGTAATTTATTGCTCATTATAACCTTAATCTACAATTTTTTGAAGCCAGCCCAAAGTCAACTTTTGTGTTTGTCCTTTGTAACTTCCCGGGTAGTCGGGAAAGCTGTGGTGTTCAGTTGGTTCCTGTGACCCCATGTCCCTTGAAAGTTTCCTTATAATCTTTTGTTTTGTTGTGACGCTTATAAATAAAAACTTCACTAGGTGTGATCTTTTCCTGTGAAATGGAAAACATCTGGTTTATTTGAAGAACTTCAGTGTTTCTTAATCCTACACAAAGAACCACCCCACAGCTGTACTTGATGGTAAATAGAGGTCAGGGAAGAGATGTATCAAAATGACTTCCAGACATAAATTCTAGTTTTATAGTGCTATATAGTCATTTATAATAACCAATATAGTGGTCTAAAATAAGAGATTAACCAAAGTCAAATTCCTTTATGTAAAGAATATTGATGGCAATCAATTTAAAGTGGCCTTTCGTGAAAAAAATAAAGTGGTGTGTGATAAGGACTTTTGCGTTCATCAGCCCAGTCAAAAAAAAGTACAAAAATGGCACCTGTTACAGTTTGAGAATGACTTGCGTTTCCCCTTAGAATTTTAGAGAAGATGAACTCTAGAGGTTATTTAGTTCAAACCTTATTTCTTCTTTTATCTTAATTTTGTTTTTTTATAAGGCAACACTAAGCAATAGGACCATGACCAAAACAGGACTCATCTAATATTGACTCCCATCCTGTTAGAGGGCAAAGGATAGAGGTAGTAAGGAAAACTTGATGGCCACCCACCTGCTAAAGCTGAGCCATGTATAACAGTCTGAACTCAACTCAGCGTCAAAAACAGTACTCTGCAAAGCTCTGGGGTTCTGAAGATGCATAGTCAGCTCCCGAACATATAATGCTAACAATTATAATTGCTAACATCTACTGAGAACACCTAGGCATTTTATACACCTTTTTATTTTGCCAACAACAACATGAGGTATAGGTATTATCCCCATTTTGCAAATGAGGAACTAAGGCTTAAAGTGGTAACCCAAAACCAAGCAGTTAATATGTGAAGACACTGATATCGTACTCTACTCTCAACAGGGAAATCGGTGTCTCCACACTGTTCTATGGTGCATGAAAAAGAAGGAACTCTATGGTCAAGTACAATTAGGCAATGCAGCCCGCTGGATTCACATTTGGGAGATTCATAATGCATCTCAGCACATTAAGAGTTTTGAGAAGTGTTGCAGGGAAAAATTAAAGCATGCATTTAAAAGTTTAACTTTATTTTACCTTTAATTTATCAAACTAATTTGACCACTAAATCCTCTTTTTCAAGGAGCAGCTATTAAAATCTTGAAAAGTTTCTAATGGGGCAATTTGAGTAATGCTTTACTAATGATGGGGTTCAGGACATGCTACCTCAAAACATGGCACCTGGACGTATTGAATATTTTAAGCTGAAGGAGTTTGAGAAAATAGTAGAGGCAAGAAAGTCACTCTGACCTTTCCCCTCACTCCGCCACCCTTCTCCTCTGATATAATTCATAAAAGCCTTCTGTGGGAGGCTCTCTCCCTATACCTCCAGGAAACGAGCATTCTTTTTTTTTTTAAATGCTTATTTTTAACTTATTTTTTTAACATTTTATTTTTTATATTTTATTTATTTATTATTGTATTATTTAATTATTTTGTTTTGGCAGTGGCGAGGGGTGAGGTAATTAGGTTTATTTATTTTTAGAGGAGGTACTGGGGATAGAAGCCAGGACGTCATGCATGCAAAGCATACATTCTACTACTTGAGCTATACCCTCCCCCTGGAAACGAGCATTCTTAACTCCAAAGACAAAAGGATATGGAGAAGAATCCCAACAAACCGGCCTTGCTAAGTTTTCCCCAGTGTACTACAATTGCCTCATCCTCTCTGACCCTATCATATTCCTCCGTGACTGTCCACTCTTCATCAAATCCAGCATAAAAATACTCAGGCCTGACTGTTGCTGTGGGTCTTCATTTCCTTACGAAGAATTTCATGTCTTGTTAAAAACCTATGTTAAATATATTTGTCTGCTTTACTGCTGTTCATCTGCCTTTGGCAGTTTAATTTTCAGACCCAGCCAGGAACCCTAAGAGGGTCAAGTAAAACTTTTTCCTTCTCCACATTAAATTATATCATCGCCAAATATAAAAGTTATTATTTATTGAGTGTCTATCACACACTTAATAAATATGAAGTGGTACATGAGATGCCTTGGACATGTCATGTAAATCTACACTGCCATGATATGAGATGTATATTATGTTACAAATTTATCTCCCCACCAGATGGCAATGAATTCATCTCAGACTTCCCTATAAATTCACCCCGCAACACACACACACCAGTGTTACATACTGTACAGTGTGTTCTATGAAGAAGTGTGATCCTGGGAGTAGCAGAACACAAAGGAGAAAGCAGTCTCCTCTATCTTAGGAAGTCATTTCCTCCTTGGAAGAGGTGAGGATTGAGTTGACTTTTAAAGGTAGAGGAGGTGAACTGAGACCATAGATCAGGTCAAAAAATCCCAGAGGAATAAAACAACTTGGGAGGCACCAAGAGTTTAGTGAATATGTAGACCATGAGCAGACTACCTGATACCTATTATGTTACGCTCTTTCTTTTAGAAAAGGTCTAGCGCACAAAGTTTATGCTGCGGTTGCTGAGATTTTAGTGATCCTGCTTGCAGTTCATCCTTGGGGAAGTTGAAACATTTATAACGTGCCCAGCATTGTGCAGGGTACTGGGGGATACAAAGGAATTATTCTTGTTTTCAAGAGGTTTGAAACTGAAATATCTGGAGTAAAGGAATGTTGCTAAGAGAGTAAATCTTAAATATTCTCACCACAAAAAAAGAAATGATAATTATGTAACACGATGGAAGTCGTAACTGTGGTAATCATCTGGCAGTATATAAGTGTATCAAATCCGCATGTTTTGGCCTTAAACTTACACAATGTTATATGTCAATTATTATCTCAACATGGATGGAAAAAATAAATACAAT